AACTCTGAAGTTACTTAATAAATCAGAAGCCATAACGTAATCACCACGATTATATTGGAATTGACCAAATTCATACAAGGCATTAATTTTGGATTCAGTGATACCATGGTTCTTTTCTAAATATTCTCTGTTGAATTGTTTATCTTGTTTTAAATGATCTTGAACTTCTGGTAAGTTTAAAATATCTAAAGTTTCTTTAGTTTCATTGTTTAATTTATTGAAAATTTCATCAACTTTTGCTTCTTTTTCTTCTAATTCTTTTGGAACTTGAGCATTTGGATTCAAAGTTTTCCATTGTTCTTTAACGAAACTGATCATATTGGTTTCTTTGAATAAATCAAAAGTTAATTGAGTTATAGCTTTATCATCATATAAATCTTCTGATCTTAGGGATTCTAAAATTGGGTAGATCAAGTGTCTATCTAAGAATGGAATAACCTTCTTGGTCAAGTCATATTTACGAGCAATCTCTAGCTCAGCAGCACCAAGTTCACTCATGTTGAATTTATATTATAAAGAGCTTTCCAAATGTTCAATCTATACACCAAATTTTAAATCGACGTTAAATTTTTTTCCAAAAACTGAGCAAAACTTTTCGGTCTAGGCCACGACTGGAACCCGGACACCAAAATGGATTCGCGAATATTTGAGTTTAACAATCGAATTTTGGAACATTTACGCGTCTTTTGATCCAATTTTGTAAGTTGCAAAGTGTTGATAATGGGTGTTTTGGAGGACTCTAACGAGATCTTGAAGACTGCTGTTCTGAAAGAGAACAAGCCAGTATGTGTACTTTTTTTTCCCAGTGGAAATTACCTTGATTCTAACCAATTTTTAGTACACTTACAAATTATTGAGTAGACATTTGGATATCCATGTCAATGATGCAAAGAAATTGTTGTACACTTTCTACAAAAACCACAAGGATCTAGTGGAAGCTACCTTTTTGATTTCAGGGACATTCGGTGGTGAAACTGACTTAAAGATCAAAGTAACCAAGGATTTGAAAGATAGAGAAAAGTTTGATCAAGTTCAATCCATACAAGTTTATTCATTAAGTCCACAAAACATTAAGATTGATGAGATAGTCTCAACAGTAAATGCTCAACTCCAAGAATTCAATGTTGATGAGTCTAAATTGGCCAAATGGGGTTTGATTAAAGGTCCAGAATTAGTCAAAATTGCATCACAAACAACTAAAGAACCATCAAGATCAAATACCAGTATTTCCACCACCAAAAAGCCTGAAGCTAAAGCACCAGCGTCTGCTCCATCAAAAAAGAAAGAGTTTCCTGATATGGGTTTGAGGTCAGCTCAAATTTTGAACAGAAATAGAACAAAGGAAAAAGAGGAACCAAAAGCTAGAACAAACACACAACCAACCTTTGCATCATCCAGCAAACAGACTAAAGCAAAACAACAACCAAGATCAAAGACAGAACCTGCAAAGAAAGTTCAACAAGAGGATTTGGCCGATGAAGTTTCATTGAAGAAACAGAAGGAATCAAATGCTGAGAAGGATAGAAAGCAAAAGGAGTTGGAGAGTATGTTTGATGATGATGATGATGACGATGTTGTTATCCAAGAAGCTGATGAAGCAGAAAAAGAAGCAACAGAGACACCTACAACAGCAGCAAATAAGAATGAAGATCTAGAAGGTCTATTTGATAGCAGTTTCAGTCAATCTCAAAGTCAACCGAATAAAAAGGAAGTGGAGGAGCAACCAGAAGAAGTGCAACCAGAAGAACCAGACGTTGTGGAAGATGAAAAATCTCAAGAAGACAAGAAAGATGAAGGAGAGGTCACAAGCTATTATGATGAGGATGGTTATTTGGTGACTAAAGTTGCAGAGAAACCAAAGACAAAACCAAAACCAAAACCCAAAGCAAGGGAAGCTCCTGCATCTTCTTCAGCACCAGTCACCAAAAAGGCTAAACCAGCTGCCAAAGGTGGTGCTAAGCAACAAAGTTCTTTGATGAGTTTTTTTGGTAAAAAGTGAATATAATAAATGTTATTCTGAAAACTCACAGTAGCTCATTTACCAGACTTTTCCTTTGTATCTTTTTGCTTCTTTTTCGAAGAATGACGTTTATCATTCTTCTTTTTCTCTATTCTCTCAACAGGCTTCGATGGCTTCTTTGTGTCTTTTTCATCTGAGCCACGTACTTTATCATTGTGTTTCTGGGTATTGTTCAACAATCTGTTTAAAAAAGCTGTATTGGGTTTCTGAGAACGCTCTTTGACTGGCTCTTCGCCCTCGAGCTCCTTGATCATTTTCTGGATCAATTTTTCATCGTTCTTACTATCAACAACAAACTTATCCATTCTAAAATGCTTTATTGACTCCAACCTGAAGAATGGCTATTTAATTTCACAGGTACAAATGTTTTCTGGTGTCTGGGTTCATTAGCACCAGGGCACGCAACCTTCAACAGAACAAGTTGGCATAAAAACGCCAACAACGAATCCAAAATCTCAAGAAATACTGTAGTGACAAAAACTCCCCATACATTGGATCAATTGGCAATTGGCTTAGCTTTGGTTGAAGATGAAGTTATTCCAATTCTTCATTTTGCTCACGATTTATCTACAAGGTGCCTTTGCTGTCAAGGATTACCTCTTCAAAAAATGTGCACAATCTGGGTTTTGCAATAGAAACAGACATTTTGCTGGCGAAGTCTCTAAAAACCCTGATTATGTTTCAAAATACTCAATTGATGAGTCAACATTGAACTATATTGAATCCAACTCCACTATCCTTGGTGATATCTACAAAAAAGTCAACGATGCTAAATCTGTTAGATTACCATTCCAGATCAACATTTTGGAAAATAACAACATTAGATTAAGAGTTGATGAAGATCGTTCCCAAATTGAATGGAATAATAAGTTTTTGAACAAGGAAAGATTCGCTGATGCTTGGAAGTATGCTTTCAAAGGCGAACCTGTTGTTTCTCAAAACTATAAATTCAATGACTTACAAAATGGTAAAATTTCAGTGATTTATGGTGATAAAGATCAATACGAATTGGAGATCTTTACCCAAGACTTCAAAGTTGTTGTTAAATATAATGGTGAAACCCAATTGGTGCTAAATGATAGATCATTTTTAAACATCGAACATTTTAGAAAAGAAGATGAGAATGAAGCAAACTTAACACCAGAAGAGTCAAGCTTTAATGGTTTCCATGACGATTTCCAAGATTCAAAAGATGATTCCGTTCCATTTGGACCAGAATCTGTTGCAGTAGATGTTACTTTCAAAGGTTTCAAACATGTTTATGGTATTCCAGAACATGCTGATAGCTTATCCTTAAAAGATACTTCCGAATCGGAACCATATCGTTTATACAATGTTGATATCTTTGAATATGAAACTGATAGCAGACTTCCAATGTATGGTGTTATCCCATTCATGGTTGCTCATAAAGTTGGTGTCTCTGCAGGTATCTTTTGGGTTAACGGTGCAGATACTTATGTGGATGTTAAAAAAGATCAAGAATCCCAAGATGAACAAGTTTTAAGCTCAAAAATTGATTCAAAGACTCATTGGATCTCAGAAAATGGGATTTTAGATGTTGTCATCATAATTGGCGAAACTCCAACCGAGGTTACACAATCTTATGCTTCATTATCTGGTAATGTTCAACTTCCACAGTTGTTCTCATTAGGGTACCATCAATGTAGATGGAACTATAATGATGAAGAAGATGTTTTGACAATCACAGAGAACATGGATAAATTTGAAATTCCATATGATGTTATTTGGTTAGATGTTGAGTATACTGATGCTAAGAAATACTTCACTTGGAAAAAAGAGTTATTCCCAGATCCTGAACGTATGCTCAATAAATTGGATGAGACTGGAAGAACACTAGTTGCCATTATTGATCCTCATTTGAAGACAGGTTATGAAGTTAGTAAAGACGTTGAATCTAAAGACCTTGCATTATTAAACAAAGATGGTGATATTTTCAAAGGTCATTGTTGGCCAGGTGAATCTGTTTGGATTGATACATTTAATCCAAAATCATATGATTATTGGACTTATTTATTCAGAAATAGTACTGGATTAGCTGGTGATGCTACAAATTTCCACATCTGGAATGATATGAATGAACCTTCCATTTTCTCTGGTCCTGAAACTTCATCTCCAAAAGATCTTGTCAATTATGGCGGTCTAGAAATCAGATCAGATCATAACATTTATGGTTTAACTTTCCACGAGGCAACTTATCAAGCTTTAATTGATAGATATGTCAATAAGAGACCTTTCATTCTAACAAGAGCTTACTATTCAGGGTCTCAAAGATCAGCAGCTATGTGGACTGGTGATAATATGTCTAAATGGGAGTATTTGAAGATTTCCTTACCAATGATTTTAACTTCAAATATAGCTGGTATGCCATTCGCGGGTGCTGATGTTGGTGGGTTCTTTGGTAATCCTTCCAAGGAATTATTAACAAGATGGTATCAAGCTGCTGTGTTTTATCCATTCTTTAGAGCACATGCTCATATTGATTCAAGAAGAAGAGAACCATGGATTGCCGGTGAACCTTATACTTCTTATATGAGAGACGCCGTCAAAATCCGTTATTCAATTTTACCATTGATTTATACTAAATTCTATGAATCTTCAAAAACCGGTGTACCAGTTATCAATCCATTATTTTATGAAACTCCTTCAAACCCAAAGACTTTTGAAATTGAAGATGAATTCTTCCTAGGTGGATTATTAGTGAAACCAGTTACTGATGAAGGTGCAGAAGCTGTTGAAATTTACTTACCAGATGATGAAATTTATTATGATTATGAGACTTTTGAAAGTTTACAAGGTGAAGGTGATCATAAAGTTGATGCTCCATTAGAAAAAATACCAATCTTGATCAAAGGTGGTTCAATTACTCCAAGAAAGGATAGATATCGTAGATCATCCAAATTGATGAAATATGACCCTTACACATTAGTCATTGCTCTTGATTCAAACAAATCTGCAAAAGGTAGCTTATACATTGATGATGGGGAGACCTTCAATTATGAAAATGGTGAATTTTTATATATTGATTTCAGTTTACAAGATGGTGAATTACAAGCTGTTGTTAAAGATGGCTCATTATCTGTTCCAAATTCTATTGAGAAAATCTTGATTGTTGGCTTGGAAAATGCTCCAGCTTCTGTTCAAGTGTCTCAAGGTTCTGAATGGAATGCTGATGTTATTCAAGAGACAAACTATGCAATTATCAAAACCCCAGGTGTTGATTTGAGTAAAGATTGGTCCATCAAGTTTTAGATGAAAAAAAGATGTTTTTCCCGTGTTTCATTCTATACAACATCCTGTGTAGCTTCAATCTCATTCAACTCATCCTCCTCTTCTTCGACAGTTGGTTCTTTACCATCATATCCGATATTTAATCTAGCCATAGTGGAGTATCTAACCAAGGTTGTCCAAATTAGAACTTTTTCACACGATGGGCATGAACCCTTTTTAGGTATGATTGAACTTTCAGGTATTTGTGTAATTTGTGTAATTTTTGTTCTTTGGGAAAGTTTTTTCATAGCTGCTTTATCAGCATCAACATTTTGCACTTCTTTTTCATTGGTTCTGAAATGAGTGGAAAGACATGAAAGGTGTGAAATGTGGTCACATGAATCATGGTAACATAATGAGACAAGTGGGTACTCTGAGTTTGTCTTTGTATAATCAATCACATCTTTGCAAAAATGACATATATGCTCACCGTAGCGAAGAACTTCTTGAAATCTTGACAAGATCTTTGTATCATGTTCGATACATTTCTTTTTGAAATCCATCACGTTTTGCATATTGATAATTTCATTTGTCTCTGGAGTATTTGTATAGTCTATACGAATGAGTTGGTTTAGCAAATTAATGCCAAATTTATTCGTATACCAAACCTTATAAGTTTCAGAGTTGAATATTTGAACTTTCAAGTTCATTTTGTTGAAAAATGGTGAATTTAATAACAATCTAACATTTCCTAATTTGTGATGTATAGACCGACCAGCAGTCTTGGATGTTGTGATTCTTTGCACTTTTTCAATATGACGTGTTTGGTAGGAATGTTGCCATGCATGCTCGAACTATATGGTTAGAAGCTTTCCCTTTGGTTAAATTGTTTCTTGACTCACTTGTAAAGCTGCAATTTTGTTTGGGAACCCATGAACTATCATAATCATTTCCCAGGGCCTGAACCCCTTTCTCTTTGTTTTGTACGCTCCTGCTTTTAGTTCACCATTATGCTGCCGTAGTCTCTATGGAAAATGGGGTCAGTAATCTTGACTTTGTTCCGACTATGAATGAGTACATACTCTTACTGGATCAGGTGTTGATCCTATGTAAAATGAGTTTGGTTTGGGTATTGATCGCAGCAAATAACATCCATAAAACTTGGGCACTGCGTGTGCTACCTTCTTCTTAGTCGACTGTGACCCTATTTGTGACATTTGTAGCAAATATCAACTATTTAACCTAGTTTGTTTACAAAATTTTCAGTGTTTTGATTTACATATTTTTTTGCTGACACGATATTTTGTGACAGATACATGAATTATTTTACGAGTAAAAAGTTTTGATTACAACTATACAATTTACTCTTCATTGACAAATAATCCAGCATATCCTTGACCAGTACTGGTACACATGGAGACTACACCTAACTGCTTACCTTGAGTTTTCAACCCATTGATCAATGTGCTGATGACTCTTCCACCAGTAGCACCTAATGGATGTCCAAGAGCAATAGCACCACCATAAGGATTTACTTTAGTTTCATCAAGCCCTAGTTCTCTAATGCAGTATAATGACTGTGATGCAAATGCTTCATTCAGCTCAAAGATATCAATATCATCTTTTGTTAAATCAAATCTATTCAATAATTTTGGGATAGCTACAGCTGGACCCATCCCCATTAAATGAGATTCAACCCCAGCAACAGAGCTCCCAATGAATTTGGCAATAGGTTTCAAACCATTCTTTTCAGCATTCTCTCTAGTAGTTAAGATCACAGCACTTGCACCATCACTGATCTGTGAAGCATTACCTGCAGTTGTAGTTCCTGTTTCCGAGAACGCAGGTTTCAATGTTGACAATTTTTCCAAAGTGACATTTCCTCTTACACCATCGTCTTTTGAGATGGTTTTATATTCTTCAGGTTCGCCTTCTTCAGAGACCCTAGCTTCCACTGGAATGATTTCTTTTAGGAAATGACCAGACTCAGTAGCTTTGAATGCTTTTTGTTGAGACTTCAATGCAAACTCATCTTGATCTTTTCTTGAGATGTTGTATTTGGATGCGACATTTTCAGAAGTTATACCCATTGGCATCAAAACATTTTGAGCTTCAGAAGATGCTTGTTTCTTGAATGGCTCATAAATTCTAGTTGGGATTCCTCTATGTGGGAAATAATCATGTGTCATTGATTCCACACCAGCAGCAATACCAAAGTCTATATCACCAGAGCGGATCGAGGCAGCCAAATAACTAAGAGCTTGAGCAGAAGATGCACATTGTCTATTCACCGTGTTTATAGTGGTTTTTATTGGGAAGCCAGCGGCTTTAGCAGCCAAAGCACTCGCTTTCTGACCACCGAGTGTTTGCAACACAGCACCAACCAAGATATCATCAACCAAGGACGGATCCACTTTGGAACGCTCAATTGAGCCTTTCAAGACATTGTAGAGCAGTTCTTCTGGATACAACTTGGATAGCCCACCCTTTTTAGCCTTTGTCACTGGAGTTCTGAGGGCTGAGAGGATCACGATGTCTTTTGGCGATTTTGTTAGCAGTCTTGCTGTTGACATTTTGGCTATCGGATCGAGGTGCTCAGGAACACCAGCATTAACCAGCTAAACCAACCTGGATTCCACCATTCTTAAATAACATCATCGCCTATTGTCGTGATGAGCCTGACAGACTCGGGAGCTCTACCGGTAGAGCTTTCAACCGCTTCACGTCCCTGATACGCTGGTACCTGGTGTACCCCAGTTTAGAGCTGGTGGGTTAATTCATTAGCCAGACACAACGGCCAGGCTTCCGACACCAGTCGCGTCTTGAACCGGTTGATACTTTAACAAAGGAGCATAATTGAGTTGATTGATGATATATATACAGCTACGGATCCAGAATGATGTGTATCTGATGGATTCCCAAGTGTTGTTGATGTTATTGGAAAATGTTTAAGCTAATTGTCCCTAGAACAACGCTGTTTAGAATAGCTGGATTTCGTTTCTCATCTACTGCTATTCCAAGAATCTCAAAAGTGGTTCAAACTACAGATGAAGCATTAGAAGGAATACAATCCGGTCAGACTTTACTATCTGGTGGATTTGGACTTTCTGGTGTGTCTGACACCTTGATCAATGCATTATTAGAGAAGAAGGACATCAAGAACCTAACAGCCGTGTCAAATAATGCTGGTTTGGATGGGCAAGGTTTATCAAAATTGTTACAATCTGGACAAATCACCAAAATGATTGCAAGTTTCATTGGAATGAACAAGACTTTCGAAAAGTTGTATTTAGATGGTAAGATTGATTTGGAATTGACTCCTCAAGGTACCATGGTGGAAAAAGTTAGAGCTGGTGGTGCTGGTATCCCAGCTTTTTACACCCCAACTGGTGTGGGTACCTGGGTTGAGGAAGGTAAATTACCAGTTCGATATGGTGAGAATGGTGAAGTATTGAAAACTACAAAACCTAAAGAAACAAGAGAATTCAATGGACGTAAATTTTTATTGGAAGATAGCATATTTGCTGATGTTGCATTTGTCAAGGCTTTTAAAGCTGACACCTTGGGTAATTGTTGGTTTAGAGGATCATCTCAAAATTTCAACACTGCTTTTGGTAAAAATGCTAAATTAACTATTGTGGAAGCTGAAAACATTGTCGAACCGGGAGAAATCAAACCTGAAAATGTTCATTTACAATCAGTCTATGTTGATAGAATCATTAAATCTACTGCACCTAAAGAAATCGAAATTGTCAAATTGGCTGAAGATCAAAAATCACCAGAAGAGTTATTAAGTTCTGGTAATGAAAAAGAATTGAAAAGATTCAAGATTTCCCAACGTGCATCTAGAGAATTCAATGGTTTCAAATCCGCAAATTTGGGTATTGGTATGCCAAATCTATCTGTTGCTTTCCTTCCTGAAGATTCTCAAGTCATGTTACAATCAGAAAATGGTATATTGGGCATGGGTCCACATCCAAGAAAAGGTGAAGAAGATGCAGATTTAATCAATTCAGGTAAAGAGACAGTCACATTATTGAAAGGTGCTTCATTATTCGGTTCAGAAGAAAGTTTTGCCATGATTAGAGGTGGTAAAGTTGGATTAACAATGCTTGGAGGGTTACAAGTTTCTGAAAATGGTGATTTGGCTAATTGGGGATTGCCTGGAAGAGTTAAAGGTATGGGTGGTGCAATGGATTTAGTTTCAAATCCTCAAGCTACAAGAGTTGTTGTGTTGATGGAACATGTTGATAAAAAAGGCCGTTCAAAGATTTTGAAAAAATGTCAATTCCCATTGACTGGTACTAAATGTGTCAAGAGAATTATTACAGATCTTGCAGTATTTGACGTTGTGGATAATGATCATTTGAAATTGATTGAAATTGCTGATAATACCACATTAGAGGAAGTCAAGGAAAAGACTGAAGCTGATTTTGAAATTGCTGATGATTTAAAGAAGTTTTAGCTAAGAAATTTAATGAACACATATAAATATTCTATGAAGATGTAGTGATAAACGAATATTGAATGCTGAGCCCCAAGCACTGATAAACCTTATTTATGCCAGGAGCTGATTTTCTAGGGGTATGCTATATCATCTCAAAGGTCAAACTGTTTGTTTTGACTGAATGTGCTACTACACCACTCAGTAATCAATCTACAACTCAATCCATAAAATAAATACTCATTCAATACACACGAAACATCTGATCAACTCTTTCGAATCAATCAATTTAATTGCTATAGCTTCAAGCTATTATCAACAAAAGTAACAGGTTCATGAGCCACAAAGCTATTCCAACCTCTTTCAGCTTCTTTGAAAGCATCATAACCAAACAAGAATTTTTGGAAAACAGGATCTGCCCATCTATTTGGATAACCTTTTCTTGGACTCAATTTCAATAAAGCATCCCTTTTAGCTTGTTTCTCACCATCTGGTAAATGGAAAATATCCCTACAATTAGTTGAACCTTGCACAACTTGAGTAGTTCTCCATTTTCTTAAATTTTCATAAGTTTTCAATAATCCATGAATTTGTGATTTATCAGTGATTCTACCAAATAATCCAGTTAATACAGCAGAGTCTTCAACAGCTTGAGCAGCACCTTGTGCCAAATAAGGTAATGTAGCATGACATGCATCACCCATTAATGCAACGTTACCAGTTTCATGAACCCAAGTTTCCATTTCAATAGAGTTTTGTAATCTCCATTTAGAAGTTTGATGAACCAAAGTTAACAATTTTTTCAATTTTGGATCCCAATCACTAAATAAATCTAAAATTTCACCAGGTTGTGCAGGTTCAACATTAACATCTTGTGGTAAAGTATCTGGTGATAAAACAACAATATTGACAGTTTCACCACTGTTTGAATTCAATAAATAAACAACAACATGTATATTTGGACCCCACCAAAAATTGATCTTTGGTTCTTCCCAAATAAACTTCAAATCTTCATGTTTTCTAACTTCAGATGATCTAACTAATGCTCTCCAAGCAATATCACCAGTATTATGAGGTGGATCTGGTCTACCCAACATTGTTTGTCTAATTTGAGATTTCAATCCATCTGCACCAATGATAACATCAGCATTGAATTGACGTCGATCACCTGTGATGACGCTATTATCATCAAAGTCCACTCTCATAACTCTTGCACCTAATTTAATAACAACACCAACTTCAATAGCTCTATCAACAAGAACTTTATGGAAATCGGCTCTATGAATATGTAAATATGGAGCACCATATTGTTCTAAGCAGTAAGGTCTCAAAACTAAATAACTTAACAAATCACCAGAGTCCCATTTTCTGAAATTGTAAGATTTTGGAACATGAGAAACAGCCAATAAAGGTTCACGAACACCTAAAGCATCCAAGATCTTTGTAGAATTTGGTGGAATTTGAATACCAGCACCAACTTCACCTAATTCTGGAGCTTGTTCTAGCATAATAACATGATGTCCAGATAATCTAAGTCCAATTGCTGCAGCTAATCCACCAAGACCAGCACCAACAATGACAAATTTTAAAGGAGTATAAGTTTTAGGTATTGGATTTGACATAATGATGTATAACGATAAACCAATGGAAGCGATACAATCTTTTAGAAGAACATTATCCGTTATATATATGGGTAATATATGTTTGGTTCTGTTGATTGACTTACAGGATGCAAAAATTCAATACCCGGTTAATCTTTTACCAATACAACCCTCTTTCAAAACCTCCAACAACCATGAGTACCAACAAAGTATTTAAACAGATAGCTCTGGCACAGGTATAGTGGCTCAGCATTTAGCCAGTGTGTATTGAGGAAACCCCAGATACAATCTGTGAAGTCATAATGATCATTTGTTGAGTTTGTAACAGATCTGAAAAGTAGATTTGGTTGTTGATTTTACAGAACTCTGAAATTCTGAAGGCGACAAAATGCGAAATGGACAGGGCAGCACCACGCAAAATCTTTCCAAACAACGTAAAGGGAAACCACGATACACACAATATCGAGCTCAATTAAAATTGTTAACGGAATATGAGACTGACATTATGTTTTTGTATTGCAGTCTGTGAAATTCATTGTATGCGTAGAGTCCGTATGTATCAAGTTAAATATAGCTGCCGCGATCTTGTATTATGGACGTAAGCGGTAGTATAATTGTAGACACGTGATATATTGACAGAGGAGACTGTTAAATTGAAACATATAAATGATCAAATTTCCAACCACCATTTATAATTATGGCCGGTAAATAAAACTCTTTGGGAAGGAGAAGACACAACTGGTTAGAAGTGTCTATATGCTTCAACACAGAAGCTAGCAGCATTCTTTGGTTTTTATAAGTATTTGAGCCGTGTTGAAGCTGGCTTGTCGTTGAGGTCAGATATCGCTTGTTAAATAGAGGTGGTCGTTAGATAGTATATACTAGAGTAAGAGTTTCAATCAAAATTTTGGTATTGAAATTATCAAGCTCTTGGCTTCAGAGTTGTTGATCGTTATTATGTTTTTTTAGTACGTACCAAAGTTTAGTGTTGATATTGACACTCCAAGCAATGGCAGAAGTCTGAAACAACAAAATGAGGTCCTTAAACATCAAGAATCAAACTGCATTAATAAAACATTGTATTTTACTAATCTAGACTCCAGATAAAGCACTATACAAATGAACACTATCGCATAAACATTTAGTACCCCAGCCATACTTATTTCTCACCCGCTTAAACGTATACCCTCCAGCCCCAAAGCACTGACCCTGGTCACCGCTTAAATATTTTCCCGCATTATCAAGACGCGGAAGTTTGTTTTCGTGGTAGAAATTTGAAATTCAGCTATCTAGTGAAAAGCCCAGAACCAAACTGGGATACTAATACATTCCACCAACGATTCCCAAGGAAATATACTTTACTAATGGCTCAATTCATTCTAGACCTCTTTACTAATCGTTTCAGAAGTGCCAGCTGGTTATATATTTAAAGAAATTCGTATCAGCCCACTTGTGGATAAAGTCAACAAAGGACGTGCTGAGATCAAGTCCAACCAATAATGGAATAATAGCTGTCAAACTTTTTTTAGAATTTAGTACTGTGTCAAACATCTCCTGTATCAGATCCATCTACGTTATCAATTCAAAATCATGTGTTCAAGTCAAAAACAAGGTGTCAGCTCATCTGCTCGACGTTCTGGTTCAGCCGCTGGTGAATCTCAACAATCAATCAAGAGAAGAAGAATAAGCAAAGCTTGTGATAACTGTCGTTCCAAAAAAGCTAAATGTAATGGGAAAAATCCATGCACTTCTTGTATATTGAATGAAGAAACTTGTGTCTATAGTGACTCAAACAAGAAAAGAGGTATTCCAAGTGGTTATACAAAAGAGTTGGAGACAAAGAATTTTTTATTACAATTATTATTGACAAAGTTGTTCACTGAGGATGATTCAGTCTTGTTGAAGTTGACAAATTTGTTAACAGATCCTGAAGTTAAGAATGAATTTTTCAGTCAAATAAATGATTTGAACACCACCTGGCATGAAAGTTCAAACATCAAACCATTGTTTACACATTGTTTATTGAATGATTTACCAAGTTTGAACTTGGACCTCAAAGACCCAAACTTGAAACCTTTGAAAACTCCTAATAAAGAAGGAGGTTCAGAATCATCACCAGAAAGACTATCTAAAAGACATTCCAATGCTAAAGAAGAAGATCCAACTATTGGAGGTGAAGAGCTTGAAAGGTCCAACTCAAGTAATGATACTAAATCACCAACTCATTCTCGTCCAAACATAGATGCTGCTTTGAATTTCAACAAGATTGCCTTACAATATAAAGGGTTATCATCTTCAAATTCAACATTTTCACCAACTGCAATCCAGCACTATGTTCAAACCTTACCACCAACTTCAAAATCTCCATTCAGAGTTGGTTCACTTTTCAATATCAAGTCAACTTCCAAGAATTCATTACCTACTGAAATTTTACAATTTCCTCTAAATACTAGAAAATTGGTTGATTCATATTTTCAAGTTGTTCATCCTTGGTTACCTATGGTTAATAGATTTGCTATTGTTAGATATACCCATAAATCTAACGTTAAGGATCCAAACATTGATGGGAATTTCATTGGGTTGATTTGGGCTATTTTAGCATTAGGACAATTTAAATTCAATGGTTTTATAAATGAAGAAAGTAAAATATTGAGTTTAAATTGCGCTAGAAATTCAGTTATTGCATTAGAAACAACAACAACTTCCACTATTGAGACTATTCAATCAATGCTATTATTAGGTTTATTTTATTATGAGATTGGTGAATGGGATTCAGCATGGGTTTTAACTTCAAGTGCTTCAAGAATGGCTGTCGATACAAGATTGATGATTAATAACAATCAAAAATTGATGGAGCATGAGATTAAATTGAGAGAAAGAACTTGGAGTGGTGTTTATTTGTTGAATTTGCTTTTGAGTTTAAGATTAGGAAGATCTCCTGTTGTTAGAAAAGCTGATTATCCAATTCCAAAGATTTCTGAAGATGATTGGGAAGAATGGGATGGTTGGACTGAATTTCAAATTGAAAATTATGAAAATTTAACGTTGGCCAATAAGAAACCATTGAAGTTAGAAAGTGCAAGATGTTTGAGCGTTCATAATAAGTTATTAGAGCTGGCTTCCTTATTGAATCTGATTGTTACAAGTTATATCGAATATAATGAGAATCTTGATCAAACAGGGTTTTATAAAAATGATCATCATAGATTGTTGAATACAAATCCTGAAGTTTTCACATTTGGTACTTATACAATCAATCCAAATGAAACAATTGCTGTTTCTGCTATTGAAGATGAATTACTTGAATGGTTCAAATCATTACCTCCACATTGTCAAATAAATGATGATACATCCAATGGTGAAGAGGAAAATGGGAAGATTCCACATTTTGTTGCTTT